CAATGTATAAATCTGTAACTTTGAATTTTTTTTTATTAAAGGATTGTATTTGTGATAATTCAATGTGTATTAATGTCGTATAATACAGCACCTGTTGTGTAATACTTTATATACGTATTCCCTTTATTTACTGTTTTATTGTATGATAATCCTTTAAATATTTGTTTCATGGATCAATATTCACTGTATTAATTCCCTCACTGAACAATATTTCCTCATTAATTCCCTCAGTGATCTGTCTCCAACAATTCCTTCTCTCAATATTCTCTACAACAACAATCTCCCTCAATTCTCAATGGTCTCTCTCCAACAGCTGCCTCCATTAATTCTCAATGTTCCTTCTCCAACCTTCTCCCTCCCCTCAATTTTCTCTCTCCAACAATTCCTACCCTCAATATTCTCTCTCCAACAACTCCCTCCCTCACTGTCCACCACCAGAAGCCCCCAACAAACGCCCTTCTCAACACCTACACTAAACAGGCTTGCCAGGTGTGGGAGAATTTGATTGATTACACTGACGTAAAAAATAAACAAGAGCGACTACCTACTGTACCTTCAGACACGACCAAATAAACAACAATAGTTAAACAATAGTCCACGGTGGTTAACGATAGACGTGAGATTATGAATGAATTACGTAATTGGGTGATAGTAAACAAACGACGTTGTTGTTGAAATGTAAACAATGACGTCACTGTATTGAGAGTAAACAATACGTAAGAGTTGAGAGAGAGAGAGAGAGAGACTTACGCTGCAAGTTGTTTCCTTAACGTTGGATCAAAGTCACTTATCGTAAACCAGTTAATTATCAATACTAAAATAACCAATAATGATTAATGGAAAACTGTGATGACTTCGAAATATAAAACAGAAATTTAATCCAGGGGTCAGATGTGTACACGTGTCTCCTTCGTTAATAAGTAATAATATTTACTTTGGTGTTGTTCATAAGAGGTACGTGTGTTTGTCACTGAGGAAGAATTGTTGTATAGATGTTCTTGTTAGGCAGATCTACAAGTGTTCAGGTTAAAGCCAGTGTGTGTGTGTGTGTGTGTGTGTGTTACCTGGTTAGTATCATAGAGGTAAGCCTCATTAACACGCGCCCTGCATGTATAAATAATGTGTACTAAATGTTCATCATGATACACACACACACACACACACACGTTGTCATATTCTAAACAATCCTCAATCATCCTGTTGTTAACGTGTACATATGTGTTAGGCAGTTTATTCACCACTAATAAACAGGTGTTGTGGCTTACAGACAGGTGCTTCCTGCAACACACAGGTTACCCATTTCACATCTGGTCTACCTAAAGTTTATACCTGCAATAAACTTGAACACTTGCCTGCACAGATACATATATTTCACCACGTAAGACAGACACGGCGGAACTATGGCCCCGTGTCATGAAAGATAACGCCATCATGAGCGACCAACAGTGCCTGGCGTTCATTGCCACTCTCACAGTGACACGGGTGTGGAAGGCATTAACCAGATACACGTTCGTCTGCCTTCTACCTGCAGAGGCGTTCTTTTAATGCCAAGATAATTTTTAAAGTAATCTTGTATGAATGAGTTTTAAACACATCAAAATATTAGGTTTAGTAAACTCGGACAACAACAACAACTGGTCAGAGGCGGAAATGATTTACGCATAACGAACAAATAACTTACATATAACGAACATTATATAATGATAGAAATCGTCGCTCAAACAGGGAAAAGGATGTGTGAACTAGCCGACAGATTCACGAAAGGTTATATTTATAGGTAACGACACTCAGGAACTCAACCTTAGAGGGATTGGCAGAGAGCATTATCACCCTTTCTGAACCCCGATATCAAAAAATTGCGCATACGGACAGCCAGTTTATACCTTATCTATGCTAATAAGCTCTTGAAACCCCAAATCCTACATGATGCAATACACCATTTTGAGCTTTAGATACGACTACATTAAGGCCGAGTTTTCCAGTGGTTGGTGGTGAAGAAAAAAAAAAAACCTTATTCGAACTGCATTGAAGAGTTACAACTATGAGTTTGAAGAGGAGCCAAAACAAACAAGTAGGAGAGTGACGTGATTGGCTGGTTCTGTAAAAAAAAAATCCCAGCCTACCAATGAACGTTCAGCTTTTCGTGCCCAGAGATTCTCCTTTGACGCCCCCGTAAACCAAGTTGGAATTGTATCAAATACCCCAAGTGCAGCTTTTTAATTTTTCCACGCCCTAAAAACACCCCCAGGTTGGTCTAAAATTTGATTACCTCAGATGACATTTTTTAGAATTCAGTTTTAGCCATTAAAGTTTTCTCTTAGAATTCGATACCTAAGCCTCAAAATTGCAATTACTGCCACCTATAATCAGCGATCCGATACCAAAGGAGAACAAGCCGATATAACCCTTATGCTACTAGCGCCCGAGACCTAGATTCACAAACAAGACTTGGATATGGAGCAACTCTATCGGGTTCACTCTTCTAATTGGTTCCCTTCTTCTGGCGTGGAACGTGATTGGCTGTTGGGTTAAATGCCAGATATTTTCCAAAGTTTTGATTGGTTCCTTATTATCAGAGTGACTACACAAAGTTGAGATTTATGCTGAGTTAACACATCGTATACTATTAAATAAGTAATGAAAATCACAAACATTAAATAACTTCACCAAATGTCTACATGAAGTCCACCCCCACTAAGATAAAAACGTAAACACGCGGAAGTCATTGTCGTTAACATCAGCTGTATCTTGTTAGCAATTACGTCCTCTTGCTAGTGACAACCGCCAGTTTGCCACCCGGATTTATTCTCACCACCGACTGCCCTCCCTCGCCTTCATCACTTTGAAAAGAAACCAAAGATACAAAAAAAAAACACTATATTGTCAATTTTTCATTTTCTCGCTCAATTTCACTTCAAGAGTTTCCACAAGAACATATCCGAGTAGTTGGCTTTCTAACTTTCTTTCAACTGAGGTAAGTTAAGTTCCGGTAAAACTAGCTCACTCGGTTAACCAATTAGAAAACAAGATTCACAAACAAATCCCCATAGTAATGCTTAAACCTTGAAACACATATATAATTAACTCCATTCCCCTTACCTATAATTAATTAACATCAGGTAACCAATAAAAGATGAAACAAGTCGTGTTTCTAAATAAGGCGTCACTCTGATCACTTCTCATTTGGCCATATTGTCCAAGAGACGCGGCGGCGCCTTTCCCTCCTCCTCTCTCCCTGAAAGACACTTGTTACTACACACTCCACGGCAATTTTTTATTAGGGGGGTGAGGGGAGGGGGGGGAGGAGATGAGTGGAAATAGCACAGGATGATCTCTAGACGGTGATGATCGCTTTACAATAAACTACTGTACTCGACTCACCCTTCCCCCCCATGCAGCTTCAAACTCAGGACTTACTAAGAGTTTCAAAAGATCCGTAAAGGAGGAATTTTTTATTTTTGTGTGTTTTTCGTAAGTAAGTAGGGATTTAAGTAATGTATTTAACTTGCCTCATTTGCTTCCTTCTCCCCCTACCCTTCTTCCTACTCCTCCCCCCCCCCTTTTCCCCTCCCTTCCTTCTCCTCCCCCTTCCTCTGGTGGTATAACGACTAACTAATTCTCAGAAACCCCTACGTTAATATTTTTTTTTCTTCATGATTATTGATCTTTAAGACACTTTTCGGATTCGCTCGTAAGTTTATCCGTAACATTAATGTTTTTTCGTAAGTTTGAGTTTTAAAAGAATACACTTCATTGAGTCTTTATGCCATAATGATAGTGTCAGAAATTACGAGTAACATTTATCTCCTCTAATTAATTGCGGTCATTCACTCTGTGTTGAGGAGGACAAGTTAAGTTACGAATCTTGGGGAAAAAGTTACGAATCTTGGGGAAAAGTTACGAATCTTGGGGAAAAAGTTACGAATCTTGGGAAATCTGGAGCGAGCACTAACAGGGTACCCATGATGCCTGACACACGCACGCCTCCATCCGCTATACAAGGAACCATTTTGCACAGACAGTCGACTCAACCCAAGACCAATTTCCTATACAAGTATTTTTATCGGGTTTTTATCTATGAATCAACACGAATAGTAAATAAAACACGAATAAAAATAATTAAAAACAACTAATATCATCTTTAAACGCAGACAACAACAGAAGTGAATATTGATACAAATAATTCCTGTTATTGATATTTATTATTAAATGTTATTGAAATGATTCATGATTCACCATCTAACTCTCGCCGTCTTTACTGAATTGACATATAGTTCATAGATGTTAACTGAGTAATAAACGACTTGTAATTACCATCTGATAGTTAGGTCATATGAGGTCATTCTACTTACTCTTTCCCCATAATTTCACACTAAGACGAGAAGATTGGAAAGAACTTGCTACTCTACATAACGAAACATCGGAAAAATATTTATAAAATGTAATATTTTTATGATATATTAGTGATATCCCTCAACCTTATCGTTATACTCGCTGTTATGAATACTGATAACAAATTTGCTTTCCAGTTTCTTCAATATATATTTTATTTATCAACTTGTAGTTCTTCCCCTCTTAAAAAACATCTCCTTATCCTATCTGCATATTTTCTCAATTTTTTTTCATATGATAAACTACAATTTTGTCCTGTAATACATTTAATATATTGATGACAGTTAATAGTTCATCCTGGGGGTTGTAATCTCCTCACACAGGTAGCATAGGGAATCATTACCTGTAAGTTGTCCAATTTACATCAGGTGTAAATAATCAACCCTTTCCTTAGACTGTGTGCATGTGTGTGGCCAGAAGATATCTCCTCTGACCAGATAGATCACTCGAGGACGACCTATTCCATCCGGCCAATGAAGAACATCCTCCTCCACACGCACACAGACCCTCTCCACCACACACGGCAACTTGGGACAAATGATAGAAAGTGAAATCATACAAACATTCAATACAATAAAAGTTGTTTCAGCTATAATGAAAAACTACCCGAGGTTGTTGTGAGTTTATTCATTAAATCATAGGACCACTTGATAGGTGTTATTAACTACGACAATGATAAACAATACTGTGTCTGTGTACTGTAAGAGAGTTAAACCATGTGATTGGTGGAGTCTTAGCAAGATTAATATCATAACCAAAAAAATGTGAGACAGAAAAACCCGACATTTTTTAAACTAATTAAAAAAAAATCCTTGATAACTTAATTAATTCCATATAACACACACACCTTATCACATAACATTACTTGGGCTGGGACACTGGAACAATGCTTTAGCCTCTACCAAACTATCATCAGATCTGAGTATTTTTTTTTTTTTTTTAAGAGGGACAATTTTCCTATTAATAATCTCAACAAAATTAATGATAGAGGCTTTAAGTGTCATTCTAGCATCCTTTACAGGTTACGTCATCTGCTGCTCCTTGTTCAGTCCTAATCACCATCATCACAAATCCTACAAAACACCTTCCTTTCTTTTATACACTTCACATATCCTTCACAAAATCTTCTAAAAAATACATCCTACTTGACCATACCTTTGTCCTTAGAGCGCCAAAATATTATCACAATATCACTAAGGAACAAAGGTAGGAATGTTATCTTTTTTTTTTATTTATTATTGTTATCTTAAGAGAGTAACGTGAGGTAGGAGTGTGATCAGCCAATCACCAACACAATATACAGAAAACCCTCATTGTTATTGGTCGTGACGTCACAGTTCGCATCTCACGTCACAAGAGGTACATTCAAATCCATCTTTTGTTTGTGTTTTTTTTCTCTCTCTCTACAGTACTTGCTAGTCCAGACCGTCTAGGTGGGGGGTGAACCATCTAATAATGCCAGGCCTCACATCACTCCTCAGAGGAACATAAAAACTTTGAGGATTTTATTTTTTGTTGTATATAAACGTGTATACAAATATTTATTTTTTAGTCATAAATTAGGAACATTGTCAGTAACATTTAGTGGCTTCTACGCCATAACACAGGTGAGATAATGACCCTAGTAACAAGTAATGACTCTACCTGTTTATATTTCTGGTACCTGGTTGATACTATACACATAATTATAACTTATGGTGAGGGTGATGAGGTATTGTAGTGTCACGTCACCATACCACCAGCCATGACTGTCACGGAGGCATTTAATTTGTTACTCGGGTCATTTTCCTTCCCTGGGTAGACGAGAGGTCACCTTAGGTCATCCTGTGCTCCCCCAGGTGTAAGTTAGGTGGTCAGTCTCCCAGCTCAGCTAACTCAGTCATAACAAAGATCAAAGCCAAACTCCTTTTACCGTGATCCCGGGACGAGAGGAGAAAACGCCCGTGTGATCAAACTGCATCAAGTGGTGTGAGCTTACGACACAACATCCACACACTCCCCCCTACACCACCACTTAAGTGTTTCTTACAAGAGGTCAGATGAAGACAAAAAATCAAATATACAGGTACAGATTTTGTTGAGAATTCATAACACTAGACACAACCCCCCCCCCCCCCTTTTGCTGTTGTGTTATAAGCTCACACCACACGAAGTTTAATAACACGTAGTGATGTGTACTGGTGGTGTGCGTGTGCTGGTGGTAAGGCTGTCCCTTCACCCAGGCCCTTCCCTCTCAACTATTGGTGGGTTAAATGACACCCACGCCTGACGTCACTCCCTATACTGGCTCATAATTGGTCGAGTCAATAGGTGAGAGAGATAAACTCGTTGGTATTCTATCTGACGTCACAGTAGACTCGCTTTTACACTAACGCATCGGCCAATCAACAACCACTTCGGATTATTTTAGTATTTAGCCGTAATGAGCCTTAATTGGTGATTCTGCCAAAGGAATTCTGTACTTTTCTATCGTCTGAAGCAAGATGATGTCATTAACTCTGAAGCAAGATGTCATTAACTCTGAAGCAAAATGACGTCATTAATTCACTGAAGCAAGGTGACGTTACTAACTCTCTAAAGCAAGATGTCAAACTCTGAAGCAAGATGACGTCATTAACTCTGAAGCAACAACAAACATGTCTTACCATCCTTTTGATTCACATAGACTCAAACACCGACGCTAAAATCCGACAAAATTTATTTTAAATTTATCTGGTTTAAGTTATAGAGTAAAGGTCAAGTCTCGAGGTAATTTCGATCACATTTTTGTTTTGTGTTTTATCGTAAGTCAATAGTTGAGATGTTTCCTACGAACCATTGAGACTAGTGGGACAGTGGACGACTATGTGGCGTCATCTGCTCAAACTACGCGAGAAATTTTGTCGTGTCGGGAGATCACACGACGGGAAAAAAACCTCTCAGATAGGTTAACATTGTGAAGGACCCTGGGGAGAGAGACAGACACTCAACGCTGAACAATTTGTACCAACCGTGACTAAAGAACTCAAGACTGAACATCTACTGTACGTTAGTCTGTCTGTTTTAGTTTATTCTTTACTTCACCGTTAAATTATCCACTGTTTTGTTTACTTACTAATATTATGAAAGTAGGAATCACAGAGACACAAATAGGAACTTGTTACCTTCTTTCAACCCTCGTTAAGTTCTTCAGCTGTGTGCATAGTGTGGGTGAGTACTGATGCTGTGACACGGGAGGAACAAAATATCTCTGCTGCAACATCCAATAGGTGCTTCTTGTACTTTGCTCAAATATGTACTAGGAAAGATCAGTGTATAAAATATATCAGTCTGTTTGATATGTATTATTGGTTTTTTTAAGGAACATACAACCGTTTGCATTGTCATTTAAATGCCATTTTTTTTTGGCACCGAAATGTGAGCTGAAATTTGCATATCTTCATTCAATAGAACTGTCTTGATCTACGTTAGTAATGTTGAGTCACAAACAAGCGTGCATGAAACTCTTGAACGTTTATATAAGACTTATGAGGAACTTTCTACCTTGCTCTCAGGAACTCTAAAATGGCAACGCTGGGAGATGACCACCTGATATGGCACCACTGGGAGATGATCCACTACTATAGAAATATCTGGGATGGCAACACTGCTCTGTACTGAAAACACTGCACCTTAAATGTCTAGGATGGTAACACTGCTGAATGACCACAACACATGGCAACACTGCTGCATGTCTACAAGACATGATGGCACACTGTTGCAAGATCGCAAGACATGGTAAACACTGCTGCATGGCCACAGGACATGGCAACACTGCTACATGGCAGCAGTACTGCATGGCCTGGAGACATGGCACTCCAGCGTCAGGCTTGGCCACATGGCCCTGCAGTGGACAAAAGGTGGATATTATTGTTCATTTTCTTAAGAGTAAAATATAAACATAGTTAACCTGGTTAATTTTTGTTGTTAAAACTTACACCTGTCAAGCGAGCTAACTACCATGGCACTAACGAAACATTAAAGAATTATAATGACTCCTCTAGTGACGAAAATCGTTTTATAAGTTTCCGCTACAACATGGAGAAAGGTCGACAGCAAATGGTAATTACTGATAGTTTGTCGAATATAAGAAGCTAATCCTAACTAGCCTACTGTAGGCGGGTGCCCGTGCCAGGTGGCCGGGCACCGCCCCTGAACACGTCCCAGGGCACCAACACCGCACCGCCCTCACGCCGCCTCAAGGGGACCTGACCAGGTACTGGGCGCACCTGCGCTCCTGGGCAGCGCCGCGCCTCACACTCTGTTCTTGCTTCTGTTTTGACCCCGACAGACTGACCTGTACTCACCTCCCTTTACCTGTGTTCACCTGCCATTAGTATCATATCACTCAAACTATCATGACTCATCTCAATATAATCAATCCAAGAAGTCACTGGTAATTTCATGTTAAATTTGACCGTCTTTTAGTGCAGGTGAATGTTTCCAGGTAAATTAAACCATCATCACCCATAACTCCACATGACTTATCAACACTTTTATTTTCCTCAACTCTGGAATATAATTTATTATTAACTTCAATTTTATTAACTACAACCATATATTTTTCTCTATGTGATGACGTAGACAAGAGGCGTGTGTGAGGTGCGGCGCCCCCCAGGCTGTCTGTAATGCTTCGGAAACATAAATGTTGGTTCTGAGTGGTGCGGCCTCGGGGGTCCTTCTCGACACTCACCTGTAACAGCTGGACAGGTAAACAAACAAGTTTCACGTAAACAATGAGCTTCTTAGATCCAATTCTTGCCAGGACTGATGAGTGTCGGTAAGACCCCTGAGAGCTGTGAGGGGACTCTTAAGTCTTGCCTCCACTGATGTGTCTGACTGTGAGCGTCAAACTCTGCTGCGATGCTCTGTAAAAACGGAATCAAAATATATGGAGAACTTGGTCACAGAATGTGTGTAGCCGGACGGTGTGGGTGCTGGAGACGTCCTCCTGAGGGCGCCCCGTCACCCTCACCGTCAGCCACACTTTGTATTGCTCTTGACCTCGTCCTCTACAAAGTGACGGATCAGCGACTTGAGCCTTCTATCATTACTCTCTGTCTATCTATTCTGAATAGCAAAAAATTACCCTTATCAAACCCCAAGTTAAAGACTAACACTTGCCGATCACATCACAACCATTGATAGGAACTATGGAACCGGTCTAAGGATTCTTAACAATTGAGAGGTAGTTCGGTAGTTTGCTTGCGGTTGCCTCAGGCAGGTGAGCGGTGTCAGTGCCCAATTAACCCGGTCTTCCGCGCCAACCATCACAACAATAGCACACTCATAGTACCATAGTTGGTCCACCAGGCTCCCGACACTACTGACCCCCCCCCCCCCTCCTGGTCCCTCCTCTTATGTTATTAGAAGTTCGACACAAAATTCTACTGTGATGATTTTTGAGTGTCGTTATTTCCTATGTGATATTTTTACAACCTTCTTTGTTATTCTTGATTCTCTTTTATCATGTTATAATTCGCTCTTGTTAGTTAATTACACTTTGACAACATTATGACCTCACTAGCGTCTAAGAGAAGTACCAATAACTCACACTTGTTCCTGGACAATAAATATAAATTCCAAAAGCAACTCTGAACAAATGTTAATTAAAAAACAGCTGGTGTGAGGCAACAAGAGCAATGAATCTCTAAAGAATTTGACACAAACTGAGTTAATGAAGACACACACATGACTGGACACACACATGACTGTAAACATGAAACGGATTAATTTCTTCAGCAACTGGTAACAAGAAGGTTTTTAACTGTAGTGACGATTAGGTTAGGTTAGGTTAGGTTAGAGGAGAATATTGAGGCTGGGAAGAGTTATTAAGTGACTTGTGTCTCTCCACCAACAGGAGTTATTAAACTTTCCTCATCACATGTTAACTGATGCTCTGGCCTCTTGGCTTGACGTCCTGTTAGACCCAAGAAGCTGCGTCAAGAGGTTTATGAATAACTAACAACAACGCTATAAACCGTGAGGACCGAGGACCTGTGAGGGCCGGCCAGTAGTGCCAAAGGTGCCTGCCAGAAGTGCCAAGAGCCTGGCATTAGTACACAACAAATTAATACGCCTACTATTAACATCTCGCCACTGCTCTTCTTCTTTCCCTTCAAACTGTAGCCGTCCAATACATGCGTCGAGGTCGTCAGCGGAGTGTAAACCTTCTGCACCACTTCAGGAAGGTTCATTTTATCAACATTTTGTGAGTACAGATAAGAACCTATCTGAAATATAACCAAATACAAGGTTCCTATTCGCTGACACCATCACTGTGTATCACTAATAACTCTTGTGTGGACTTATGGTGTAGTTCTTGATAAACCTCCGAGAACAAGTTGACGGCTTGCATGTATGTGTGGGGGAACGTGGATAAAACTTTATTTTTTCTATTTTTTTTTTTTTTTGCATCAGAATGCACTTGTGTATATATATATTTATATATCCCATGGGGGAGAATCTAGTGTGCAGATGTTAGGGAATATATACTGAAGAATCTTGCGAGGTTTCCTTATCCTAAGGTTTCAGGATTATCACCTTGACAAGTGTGAGTCCTCCGCTGCTTCTTGTACACCTGGGCAGGTGAGGAACTGGTGGACGCTCGTCAGCGTCGCCGGAGATAAAGTAAAGAAGCGGCCCTTGACCCGGGCAGCGCGGGGTCGCACTATCGCTACAGGAACATAGTACTGGCCACGATAAACCTACGTAGGAACCATTACCCACAGGATCAATTGATTGTATGAATGAGTGCCCTCGCCCGTGCCCGCGCCGCCCGTGTCCACCAGCGGCTACCGACACGCCCACGCTTCACACGTGCATGCGGCCACACATTGTGAGGCCTTCCAGGCTATAGCGTGGGTGTGTGGGGGTGGTGGTGCGGGCGGCGCGACGCGGGCGTGGCGGTGTGCGGCGCCTGGTGACCGCTAGCTAAAACACGACAACGTCTACACGGACACAGGAGCGGCGAGGCCACAGCGACACACGACACAGTTTGTGGGGCGCCGCCGCGGGGCGTTTACTGCGAGGCGTTAAGTGGGCGGGGCACGAGGCCCGGCCTGCGAGGAGGGGCTTGGCGGCCCGGGCCAGGGCGGGCCTGGTCCAGGAGGCCCGGGGGCCGCGCTGGTCACTGAGGGTAGCAGCCAGATGGCCGATTGGGCCGGAAATGGTCCACCTTACTGGCTGGAAGCCGGTTGTGGCCCGGGGGTGGCGGCAGCGCTGTCCTTGTTGATGTTGGCGTTGGTGTCGGTGCTTGGATGCGCCGCCTGCGCCAGGGCAGTGATCTGCTGCACCACCGCCGCCACCTCGGCATCCTCCACCATGGGGCCGCTGGCCGAACTCACAGGCACCGAGACTGCACGATGTTGCTCGCTGTCCAGGTGGCGCCGGTAGTCGGCTAGGGTGGCGGCGTGGTGGCGGCACGAGGTGCACGCGTACAACAGCTGCGTCAGTCTTAGGACGCCGCGGGTGTGGTCGAGGGCCCGCTGGTGGGCGGCCAGGAGGGCGGGCGAAGGGAACACAAGGCGGCATGACTTACATACCCACCCCACCTCTCCTTCAGCGTGCTCGGCCGTCTCGCCCGCGTCAGTCGCCCGACCCCCATCCAGCGTGAAGCTCGCCCCTGACGATCCTACAGACCTCAGGTGGGCACTGAGCTCGGCGTGGGCGGAGGGCGGGAGCTGCAGCATGGAGAGCGGCGTGCCGCCCCCGTAGGATCCTCCTGCTACCTGCTCGAACCCACAGCCGCCCATGGTGGCGCCACCTCCACCACTGCCGCCGCTGGTGCTGGTGCCGCCGTTACCTGCGGAGAGAAGATCACCGTAAGTCATGGGCCACATGGTCACCACACACACTGTACATTAATATACCAACACGGCCTCTACTGCCTCTACTGCCTCTACTGCCTCTACTGCCTCTAGTGCCTCTACTGCCTCTACTGCCTCTAGTGCCTCTACGGCCTCTACTGCCTCTACTGCCTCTAATTACATATAAGAAACACTAAAAATTATTAAATATTAGTATTAGTAAAAAAATATTAGTAACACAATTATGCCACAGTATAGTTAAATAGACCCTTAGTACAGTACCGTCACTCTACAATGTTCAAGTCAAGTTTCACAATGGTTAATGGGGAGCTGAAGGAGGAGACAACTTCACGAGGTTAGTAACTCACGATACGACGGAGAGACAGACGGACATGATCGTATAAAAGACATTCTACAATAATTTGTTTGTTATAGTTTACCTCTAATCCTTATAACACACACACACACACACACACACACACACACTCTGTCACTGCCTCTAATATCTCGTCCACTTGCTGTCCTAATGGGTCCGCCCACTCGCCCACCACTCCCTCCATTAAGTCCCTATCTCTAAGAACTCATCCATTTGCTATCTAATGGGTCCACACCCTCATCACACCCACTAATATCCTCCCATTACTTTTCTAATGGGTCCGCCCACATGCCCACCACTCCCTCCATTACACCCCCTTACCTCTAGGATGCCGCCCATTAGCAGCTAAGACGGCCCAAGGACGCTCCTCTTCCTCCTCCTCCTCCTGTGTGTGTGTGTGTGTGTGTACCATAACAAAAACTATATAACGTCACCATACAATTTGACTTTATACGTAATATAAAACAACAAATAACAACAAGTAACTTAACAAAAAAAGGTAGGTAGGTAGTAGGTAAGTAAGGTGTGGTGTGACAGGGTAGGTAGGGTGTGGTGTGACAGGGTAGGTAGGGTGTGGTATGAGAGGGTAGGTAGGGTGTGGTATGAGAGGGTAGGTAGGGTGTGGTGTGGTGTGGCCGGGGTTAGTTCACCCTCGAACAGTAGCAGGGTAGCTTCCAGTTCACATAACCTCCCTCACACCACCATATCCCCGCCACATCATTAAGATCCAGGTGGTAAGTGACACAGTACATGACTCTCCACCTTACAGCATCACCGGGTATGACACTCTCCTGCCCCCACCATCCACATTTGGCCTTGATAATACCCGCTGTCTCAATTTGCCGTAATTAATAAAGAGTCGAGATAATTAGACACATCCTAGCCAGGCTACTCCGGTTTACTGCATACACCAAAAGTTTCCACAACAATAACAGATGGTTTTAAGTACACATACAGTACACACACACATACACACACACACACACAGATATACATACACACCAAGAGCCAGAACTTACCTGTCTCTACCCACCAGTAGCCTCGCCATCACTACAATGAAATAAACTTTTTCTTTTTACTCCACTTACCTACACTAAAGCCTCGATGAAATTGCATGGAAGAGCTTCTAATGATAGTATTTAATAGGTGGCTGCCATTAGACCATAGACCAGTGGCTACTACTTCGGCGGAGGAGCGGCCACACCACCACCACCCCCCCCTCCCCTCCCCCACTGGTGCTCACTCCCAGCTGTTCCGCCTACCAAGGTTCCACTATAATTGAATAATGGAGCCACCACTGCAAGCCGGCCGGCGCCTGGCCACCTCTCCGCTTTATGAGGACGCTGCTGCCTCACCCACCAAGGAACAACACCATCATCAACAAGGATTCCAACCTCACACTCATCAACATTCTGCAGTCATTACCTGTACGTTCCTCAGGTAAATGGAAATCAGAATCACACTAAGACAACAAAGAGGAACTGTGTTGCGAACGTGGCTCATCCGGTAGGGGTCAAGGAGGAGGAGGTACGAGGAACAGGAGGTAAGAGGAGGAAGAGGAGGAAGATGAGGATGAAACCCTCGCAGACGCAGCCTTCACCGGGTGATTGTAATTTCTTAAGGTGGTATAATTTGCGAACATAATTTTGCATACATTAATGTGTTAGTTCGGGAGCCGCTGCCCAGCCCTCCATCCCTCTCTCCCCCCCACCATTCCCCCTCCCTTCCCCACACACACGCCACAATCAACCGCTTCTTTGGTGGTCATGTTAAAATTATTATTACGATAATCACAGCTTCTGGTGTTATGAATGTTACCATCTTGGGCTGACGTACTGAAGGTGGTGGGGGAGGGGATGGTGAGGAAGAGGGAGAAGAGATGGGGAGGGGAGAGGGAAGGAGAGGGAGGAGGAGATGGGGAAGAAAGAAACAGGAAAGATTAAGATGAGCAGGAGGAGAGGAGAAGCAAAAGGTTGAAAGCAATAAGCGGAAGGGAGGGGATGGGAGGGTGGTGAGAGAGAAGGAGAAAGGAGTAGAAGGAAAAGATGGAAAGGAAAGGAGAAAAGGCCCGGGTTCCTCTGCTACATAACCATGAAATAAACCATAACACCTTTACACACCTAGATAAGGGTTATGTATAATTAGTCACTGGTACAGGTTAACACACACACACACACACACACACACACACACACACACACACACACACACACACACACACACACAGCCTTCTCTCACCCTCTCCCGTGTCTGTGTGTGTTAGTCATGCGGGTAGCCTGGTGGGAGTGAGTGTGTGTGTGTGTGTGTGTGTGTGTGTGTGTGTGTGTGTGTGTGTTTTGCGGACGATTCATCCACTTGTGGCTGAGATTATGTGAATACGGGCGTAGTAGGAATATACTCAGTGGGTATGAAGTGGATGGGGGCAGCTGTATGTGGATATAGAGATGGATAGTAGGTTAAGAAGGATAATGTGGGTGTGAAGTGGATGGGGGCAGCTGTACGTGGATATAGAGATGGATAGTAGGTTAAGTAGGATAGGATATGTGGGTGTGAAGTGGATGGGGGGCAGATATATGTGGATAGGAGGTGGATTCACGATTATCCGGACCATTTCTAATTATCCGGACCAATGCTTAAATGGACTAGTGTAAATAACGCAATTCTAATGTTAATACTATATGAATTTTCGATTATCCGGACAAAAACTAATGCTCACAAGCCCAGGTGCTCACAAGCCCAGGTGCTCACAAACGCCTAATGCTCACAAGCCCAGGTGCTCACAAACGCCTAATGCTCACAAGCCAGGGGACACACTCATGTAGGTCGTAATGAAAGTGAATTAATGCGCTATTCGAGTCAACGAAGCTTATGTCGAAGTGTTCCCTGGGCCCATGGTCGTCGCTAACTAACTCTCTCAATTGTATAATGTTGGTAATTTGTGTGTTAAGGCTTATTGAGTCAGTGTTGGAGCCTTTTCTGGTCATCTAGCCCTTTGGTCCTGATTAAAGACTAACTTTTAGCATTAATGTCTGTTCCAAAATATATCGTCGGCACTGAACCCCTTCAACGGGGGTCTAGCAGAGGTGAACGAAAAATGTCCCCAAGGTGAACATTAGTTAGGGTGAAAATTAACCTTCCCCATCAGAGATTAGAGTCAATGTTGACCCTCCATAAAGCTTGGGTCATGTTTCATAATCTTTCATGCTTTAATGGCCCCTTTTTTGTGGCGCTGCCTGCGTACTTTTTTTTTCCACTCCGGTCCGAGAATACGGGACGAGGTGGCCCTGTACACTGTGCCTTCCCGTTGTAAACAAGAGGATAGAACGATAGCTTATCTTCTATCCTCCAAAAATAGTCCTTGACCCCGAGCCTTGGCAGACATAGGTAAGAATGAGGTGATATCTGAGGTAATTGAAGCATTTGGGGCAGTTTAGTACTAGAGTTCAAAGGTCACGTAGGTTGATATTCCTATTGTGTGACGGTGGTAAACTTATCCTTAAAGGGGAGGAGGTCAATAGGTCCTTGTGGTTGGAGGAGACGTAATTCTCTGCAGCTTGCCTTGAGAGCCATTATGAAGATTGACACGTGTTTTCATCGTCAGCTCACTCCTCATCATCATTATCGTCATTTTCATCATCATATTCATCATCATTTGAGGTCAAGATAGTCTATGATTCTCCACCCTCTTGGCACCTTCTTCAACCCCCTCCCCCTCCTCCTCCCCCCACGTTACCCACCCCCTCCTCCCCCCACATTATCAACCACCCCCTCCTCCTCATCACTCTCATCCCCTCCCCTCACCCCACGATCATCACCACTATCTCGTCACCACCACCACCATCATCATCACCATCACCATCCATTCTTACAGCTATTCACAACCAACTATTCCATCACCATAAAACGTAATCACCATCCTGAGTACTCTAGATCACCATTACAATCAGTTATTTGAGTACTATGATAGTCCCATGAGTACAATGAATTGATCTGTGAGTACGTTGGCAGCACCCATGAGTACATTAAACATGAGCACAAGTAATAAGATATTTTAACCCCTTGAATACGACTTAAGAATTGCATACAATACCTTAAGCTCTTGAGTACGATGATGTACCAAGAGGTTGTCATTGTATTCAAGGGTTGAGAGAGAGAGAGAGAGAGAGAGATCCCAACAAAACAGAAACACACACACACACACACACACACACACACACACACACACACACACACACACACACAACACACACACACACACACACACACACACACACACACACACACACACACACACACACACACACACACACACACACACACACACTCTACAGCCTCTTCCCCTAAAAACAAAAAAACAAAAACAAAAAAATTCATTGTCATAATCTCAGTGACAAACAATAGAAATTGTTCACTGCCATCATCCGGTTCTTTGTGAGTCACTGTTAAAGGTTAATGAAGTGTCAGGTAAGTTTCTGTTGCCCTCTCTCCCTTCCTCCCTCCCTCACTTATGATCATTACCTTAACCTAACCTAATCTAATCTAATCTAACCTAACCTAACCTAATCTAACCTAATCTAACCTAACCTAACATAACCTAACACCCTTCAATTTCAACCATTT